TCTATGCATTTATACTATAACTTGAATGTACAATACTGATTAAATATAAGTCCACACAATTCTTTCCAGAGACAATATTTTCAACATGATTTTCACAAGCTTGCGGTGTTAACTTTCCTGTCATTGCTCTTTCCCTTTGTCATCACTCCTTCTGTCCTCTGGTTTTCTTGTCCTCGCCTTCACATTCACTGCCCATCAGAGAGCCTCTGATACTTTGCAGCTGTTGTCAACAAGAGCTGCTCGCCCTCCCAGATCTACAGCGAAGATGATCCCTCCATTTCTCATGTCTGTTGTCAAGCCCCATCACCCTTCACATCCTCTCCACTAAACCTCCCCTTTCCCCTTTGCTTAGAGTTGATTACCCTCAGCCTCTTTTCCTGCCTTCACCCTGCTCCCTTTTCTCTTTAATCTCATTCCCCTGTCAAATCAGCCGCGTCTGTGTCCCCCCCCCCACACACTCCTCACGGGACATTCATTCTTAGTAAATTGATTTCTGTTTGTCAAATCTGCATCACAGCCCCTCATAGCTTGGACATTTGGGCTTCTGTTCATCCATAGTAATTTCTTGAATATTCTTTATTTGTATTTCTCAGGATGCAACAGCTGGTTTCAGCACTAACCCTTCCTACCTTAGGTATCAGTGAAACCACATATGCACCTTAATATACCTGGAACTCACTGTAAAGAGATGATGAAATCACAAGAACATAGTTTTGTTGTTGTTGCTTATTTTAGTGAGGGCACTGTATAACAATTTGAATGAGTCACTACAATATCTGGCCTGTTGTTTGTGTGTGCCTTGGTCTGATGTCTTGATACTGTGGTGATGCCAGTCTGTGCATCTGTGCTTGTATGTCTGTTTTAGATCAGCACACACAGAAGTAGCCTGCACTGACAACATGCATGTCAAACAGTGAAAAACACCCTTTAAAATATGGCTAATGTCGTACTCTGCTGTACAGACATGCAGCCTATTGTTGCGTGCCCAACTGAAAGTTGGTGATGAGTGTGTTTTTGTAAAGAGTGAGGTGAAGAGGGGGTCACAGAGAGAAGAAAGGTTGATAACGCCCATGGGAACTCTTAAGAGATCATGTTTACAGGGCTGAGTAAAGGTCAGAAATGACAACTGTGAGTGTGTGTGTGTTTCATTGTGTTTGCTGTACATCTCATGGTTTTGATTAAATGTCCAAGTCATTGCAGCCTATGTTAGATTAAAGGGTTCACATGTTAAACATCTGTCTAAGGCAATGGCAGACTGAGAGGAACCGAGGTTAAGACCTGATTAGTCCAAGCATCAGGAGACTCCTCACAAACACACACACACACACACACACACACACACACACACACACACACACAGACAAATAAGCCAAAGTAATTCAAAACATAATGCACATATACCCATATTTAGCCAGAAGCTCAAGCACACCCTGGCAGGACAGTGTGGGAAGAGTCTCAGTGGTTTATTATTGCAGCCTTCAGCCTCACAAAAGAATGTGCTCGGTGTCTTTTCTTCATCACATTGGTTCTATTCTTTATATTTTCCCTCTTCTTCATAGTGCTCTTACATCTTTTACATTTGTTTTCATAGATTTGCTCAAATTGAAAGTTGACATGAGCTGCTATATGCTGGTTGAGAGTCATGACCTCTTGTGCTCCACAAACATGAAAAGACGAACTTCAGTAGTCAATACTGAAAAATATGGGACACACACACACGCGCACACACGCACGCACGCGCGCACACACACGTGTAGAGTACACACTTTAGGCATTCACTTCAACCACTCTCTTTCAGGATTAGGGCTATATGGCTTCCTTCAACATCCATTATTATTTATTAATTCAGGCTTCGAGTCCAGCGACCTCCTCCCTCTCCTCCTCCTCTCCCTCTCCTCCTCTCCCTCTCCTCCTCTTCCTCTTCCTCTTCCTCTCCATCGCCTTCCACTCCACTTGTCAGCAGCAGCACGGAGCCGCTGCACCGATGCAAAGTTCATGTCCAAGCGGCAACATACGGTGCGGACCGCAAACCGAGGAGAATGACACCGAGGTTGTGTCTATACTAAGGGACTACTTTGTTTTACGGTAAGATAAGTTTGTAAATAACTTTGATGTAAGTTGCATGACGAGTATGGATGTGAAAAATCAACAGCAGTAAATTACTACGCAGTCAACATCTAATCCAGTTTTGTTGGCGTTCTATACAAACACGTTTGAGTGCATTTTTTCTGTGCGTAGAAGAGCGCAGTCAGAGCAGCCACATGCGCAGTCTTGTTAAAATCACTTGGTCACGATCAACTTTTGCACCTTAATGCCCACGTGCGTACATCACCGTGGAGTCAGTTGGTTTAACAGTGAGTTCGTGTTTCTCTTCTGCATTTGAACGGTTCAGACAAAATAACGTAATCAACGATAGAAGGACTTGATCACGCTATATGTGTGAAAAAAACTTGCCTTAATGACAATTAGCAGCATTTGTCAACTTTAAATAACATCTAGCTTGAGAAAACTATTAGAGCTCCAAAGGGGACAAATGATCTGTGTCCAGAATGCAGGTGCATCGTTATTCAGTAAAATATGTAAAGAGGGAGAGTCTCCTAACAACGTATAGATAAAAACTGCATGACAATACAACTTTTCCAAATTCTACCATTTGGCATAACGAGTGTTTGCAATGTTGAGACCGTTACTAAGAAGTCCTTTTTTAATTTACATTATGTTACCCTCTGTACATCCTCTTCTGCGGCATTACTTCCCTTTAGTTCGGTGGTGATTCGTGTTTTTAGGTCACATTTCAATTGAACTTGCTCTGTAAATTGAAAATGTAAGCGCTCTATTATATGACTTCAAACAGTGTTGGTAACATGGACGGCAGCTTGGTTCTAACTGGTGAGAGGTGTGGTGGAAGCAATCAAAATCACTCGGTCACTGTGCTCCTCCACTGGAACCACAGAGCAACTGTCTTAGGGACATGCCAGATCTCAGATCTGGCCGCCTGTCAGGGAGGTGACTTAATGGTTATAGAGACTGTCCCTCATCCATTCAATCATCTGGACCAGGGGTCACCAACCTTTTTTAAACTGAGAGCTACTTCAAGGGTACCGAGTAGTACGAAGGGCTACTTATTTGATACAAACTTCCTGAATAACAAAGTTGCACAGATCACCTTTTAATAATAATAATAATATATGTGAAGAGACTGTTTGATCACATGTCAGTTAACTATTCCTCACAATAATTATTAAGAATGATTTCCACAACAATGATGGTATAGCTACACATATATATTTAAACATACAACTTTTATTTCTGTTAATCTGTTTCACCATTTGAAAGTCAGAGGTATCACATCTCTGATATTTTTGTATCATCACATGATTAAAGCCGGTTACTTTTGCACATAGCGGCTGCTGGTGAATGATGCAGTGGTAATGTAGACATTTTGGGAAGTCTGGGTCACCTTTGCATTGCGCAATGAAGCCGCATGCCGGCCCGTCATCGCGGGAGCACCGTCTGTTGTCACCGACACCAGCTTTTCCAACGGTACCCTTTTCTCCACGAAGAAACTAGTAACCAGTCTCGTCTATAGCCGAGCGGGGGATCCAACCCTCCGAGGCGCGTTCAAACCTCTAGTATGGGCCTTTTCGGTCGGATTGCGTTGCCTCGCCTCTTCCCCCGCCACCCCTGAGTTGTTGCCCCGCGGCCTGTTCCGAAGATTTACAGACCTGACAACGGGGTGCGCTCGCGGCGCGCGTCTGGCGCTGACGGGGTGCGCTCGCGGCGCGCGTCTGGCGCTAACGGGAAGCGCCCGCGATTCGGAACCTGAAAACCTAGTGCGGCGGCCTCGTCCTGGCTGTCCACCGTGCGCCTCTGTGTACCCAACTCTCTTATGACAAGAAATATTGTCATTTTAAAATCTACACTAATGCAAGCGGTTTAGATTAAAAAAGAACAGCAACTACAATTTTAGACGGAGCTCCATGGTGACTAGTGCTATTTTTAGAACATGTCTAGCGGGCGACTCACGTGGTCCCTGCGGGCGACAGGGTGCCCGCGGGCACCGTGTTGGCTACCTCTGATCTGGACACTCTGTCTGTCCCTGCAGCAGCGTAGGTCCTCAGTGGACACTGCAACAGCTAACAAGGACCAAAACATTAAACTAAGTATATGTGCATAATTATGTGTTTGCTTGGTGATTTCAAATGTGGATAGCTTTTACATGATTGTGATGAGCCACAATGGAGACAGCTGCACCTATTTTTTGAAGAAGTGACGATCATGACATTGTGATACAAAAATAGGGCAAAATGAAAAATCATAAAGATGTAATATAATAGTGAATGAGCTCTGGAGATGATAATGGTCATCACTTACACAGACTTTTAAAATAAAACTTTGAATGAGTGTTGCTTTAAGCAGCCACTTTAACTGTGCCTCTCTGTTTATGTTTGCCAGGTGGAAGTTTGGAGAGGGAACATTTCCTTATGCTCATTGTTCAGCGTGTCTATTGAAATGAAATGAGCTGTGTTTGCACTTCACTGTTGCTTGGCCTCGTTTCCCTGCGTTCTATTGACAAAGGTCCCATGCATAAAAAAAGAAAAAAAGAATCAATGACAAGGGTTGAACCTGACCATAATGATTGATGTGGTTGCTTAGCCTGCTGTTGTTTAGTAATATTTTCTTTGTGCTGTAAAAGGAGTCATTGAACTAGTTGAAGAGGTAAAATGTGCAGAAAATTCTTATCTCAAATGCTTCTTCTTGTGAGACATTTTGTTGACTCGGTAGTGCATTAAGGAAAGTGTGAGAGGGCGTGAACAGGAAGTTAATTTACAAGTAACAGTTCTCAGATATGAAACACATATAGACACAGTCTGATACTGTCAGACAATGTCATGAACCCATAATTACACATATATCACCATCAGAAACAGTTGTGTGAAAAAGTGTTTGCCCCCTTCCTGATTTCTTATTTTTTT